CTCCCAAACAAAAAAAACCCAACCTCAGAAAACCCCAAACCCACGAACAATCCCTCCTCCCAAAAACCCCTAAACAACCAAAAGGTGGTAACTATACCAAGGAGCTCAAGACTGCAGCCAAGCTGGAGAGGAGCAGCCCACCGAAATGCCGAGAAGCCCCCAAAGGTGTGTCTGTACTGACCTGTGGCACAGCACTGCTGCCAAATATGCCTTTGAGGATGGCAAGGCACCGCCCAACGATGACATCATCACTGATGTTCTCCATAATCCCTGCTGCTTCTCCTGCTACCAAGGCCAACAAAATTGGTGCTGCAGATGGGGAAGGAGAGAGGAAAAAATGCAACTGAGTTACTGAAATCAAACATTTTAGTCACACAAGCTGGAGTAGGCATGGATCTGCAGCTATGTCATGCAGTTAAAAACTAAACAAACCAAACAAAATTAGTCCTAAATCTTCCACCAGCAAGTCAAATTACCAAAAGGAAAATGAATCAATATATGCTATGGTACTATTTAGAATTATCAAGAGAACTGATGTACTGGTGGTGAATGGAGTTAAATCCAGTTTGTGGTGTTACAAGTGGTGTTCCCCAGGGTTCAGTACTGAGGCCATTCCTGTTTCCTGATCTTTATCAACGATCTTGATGAAGAGATAAGAGTTGAACCAACTTAGTTGAAAGCCTTATGAGCGTAAGTCTTACGAGGAGCAGCCGAGGGACATGGGGCTACTCAGCATGCAAAAGAGAGGAAAGGTTTTCTTGAGTGAAGGTATCACTTGTTGGACATAGTAGTCCCCACTGGAATGCAAGTCATCTGTGCTGCATTTAATGGAGCTCAGCACCTTCCAGACAATCTATCTGAAGTACAATTGGCACCAGCACAGCAGTTACGTTCCCTGGGTAAGTACTTCACTCACACATTTCTTTACTGTCATTGCATATTCACATTAAATAATATCAATGGAGTGGCAACTATGAACAGTAGAACAATACCCAGAAAAGCAGCATTTCTGAGAACCCAGGACTCAGATGGACAAACAGCAAATAACTCAGCTGCCCATGTGATGCTGTGGTGAAGAGTGTCAATGTGATTATAGGCTATAGAAACCAACAGATGGGGTCATTTTACCTCTGACCAGCTATAGTAAGGTTAAGCATACATTTTTGGTAGTCACAAATTCAAGGAAAATCTTAGTTAAGTATTGAAGAGTTACCAAAATAACCCAAGTGCAAGAAACACACATTTACAAGGAGTAACCCGAGCACAGTTACTTAATGAAAACTCTTCAGTTGATCCTTCTCCTCCTGGACATACTTATGAATTCCTAAATTTAGCAAAGAAAAATAACTACAGCTAGAAACAGATGTCAAACATATTGAAATGAGAAATAAAGTTCTTGCTAAAGAATTTGCTTTAACTTTAGTACAAGTTTCGGAAATGCTTAATGAATTCCCTGTATCCTGGTATCTATGAAGAACTCATGGTATCCATTGCCAGCAAGTTACTGCTCTTTAAAGAAAACTGGCTGCAGTTCAGCTGCAATGCACAGGCTGGAAGATTCAATAATATATTCTGGTTAAAAACAAAAGTCTTTGAAATTCTGAAGAAGTTAGACTGGTAAGACTGTTATTGCTACAAAGATAATTACTCAAGATACAATTAAGAGACTTCAATAGGCAGGACCTCTGTGACTAGGAGCAGTTTATTAGAGAAAGAAGGTACAGGTTTGCTCCCCTACTTAAACTAAGACTAAGTCTAGTCTTTCAAACAATTGAAGAACAAACAAAAAACTGGTTTCCTATCATCCAGAGGGGTTGGGATGAATTTTTTTTGGTTTTTTGGTCATTTCAGCAGCAAAGTTTTTCCTAGTTTGCCATCCTGGACACAATGAGATCCCTGAACTTTTCAACAATATTTCAGTCAATGTATTTTTTCTTCATGGAACAAGTGTATATTCAAAACACAGCTTCCAGCAAATATGTTCATTAAACTTGTTCAGACAGCCCCAAATATTCTTATGGAAATCATGCCTTTCCAGTTGTGAGACCCTGTGTGGACTTATCTACACCTGAAAATGTTTCTGTTCAGTCACCTGGATTAATTCAGAACTGTCAGAGAAAGCCAAAGCAGAATAGTGATATCTGCACAGCAGAATGGTCAAAGTGCTCCTCAGAAAGTCTTCTTGCATGATAAGCACATGTCACTGCTCCACAAAAAACTCTCTCCTTGAGGCAGTGGTGTTCACTGAGCCTTGATACCAATGAGGGAGCAGATCATGTTTGAGTCAGACATCAGTGAGGAACTGCACAACTGTGACAGAGAAAGGCCCTCATCATTTTCATCACATCTCTAGGAGAAAGAAAAGCCAGGCAAGAAAACAGAGACCAAAATGTCTCTGGCTTTCCAGGAAACACCGAGTGTTTCTGCCACTAGTTCCTCTGCTCTGTGCTGATGGAGTCTCTCCACATTAAAGTCTGTTTACATGGCTGCAACAATAAACCCACAGCGTGGTGGAGACAGAGGCACCCACAGCCCAGGCAGCAGCTCCTGAGGCTACAGGTTTTCTCAGCAGTCATTACCTGAACTAGACTGAAAGCACTGGGAGGATTCCTGTCTGAGTTACAGCAGGTCACCCTACAGCAGTACAAAAAAGTGCAGTCCTCCCCAGTTTCACTCCACTCACCAGCCTATCTTTAAATACTTCCCAGAGATCATCTACTCTTCTCCAACACAACACTTAAAGGAAGTTCCACAGAGCTAATACAGCATATGCTGTGACACCTCCAGGGGTTTTGGTTCTGGATTAGTAACTGTTCTCCAATTTGCTCAGTTTAAGTAGTCTCTGCCCAAAATGCTATGGCTACAGCAATACAGAGGATGACAACAATAGATAACAGCATCTCAAGTTCAGTCAGGGGTATTTAATCTTTCACACTACAACCCATTCAGGACCACCTCACTATCCATGAGAAACAGGAACTGATTTTTTCCATTTCAGCCACTTGTCTTGTGCTTTAGCACAGGATTTTATTGCATTTCTATTTAATTTCTATGGGCTCTGCCTATTTTCATGAGAAGGAAGGTTACATATCTAGCAGCAAAACCTTTGTATGTGAGATAATCTATCTAAACCAAAACCCTAACAGTACTTGCTAGCTATGTAGTAAAGCCATCTTAAAGCCACAAAAGCAGATATCTAAGGCTCATTACCTATATTTCTCTAGTCAAGTCTTACAAAATATTTTAACAGTTAAATAGCCAAGAAAGGCACCTTCCTTGGGCAGCAGTTTTCTCTAGTTAAAGGAAAAACCTGGTCTGCCCACAGCAGAGTGGAAGAATACCCACTAGTATTAGTATTTACACAATCACCTGCAAGAAAAGTTACTCATTTACTAGTACTCTGTATATACATCTGCTTTTAGTATGACAAATGGCAATGACAAAACCAGTGTGTGTACTGGAAGCACCTTCTTGTGGCAGACACCAGCTGCAGATAAAACAAAACTACTACTGGCAAAGTTCAGCTGTAGAAGCAGGCAGACCAACACCTTTTGCCTACGTAAGCATTTTCTGAAGAGGAGTTCTAAAATTATCTGTCCATCTGAGACCCAAAGTCTACAGTCATAGCACCTTTGCTCCTCAAAACAGGAAACAAATCAATCCATTCAACAAACTGGAGACACCACAGATGCAGGTCATGCTGCATCTTAACCATATGGATGGGCCTGCAGCTCACCAAGCTGGAATGGCAATGCTGACAAAGAGGAATGCAGCTATCAAAGCCTCTGGTCTACTGTTCTGCTGCAATCTGAGTGTTCAATACTCTACAAAGGCTGCACTGCACCCCCTGAGACACTGAAGCAACCTGCAAGTGTGGAGTTCTGCAACTCAGCCACATAAGAGAACGCACAAGTCAGTAGCATCTTTCCACAACTGAAAGAAAAGAAGTCATTTGTCTTGGTTAGCTCCTAGACATGGAAGTTTGAAATCCCAGGCAGCAGAGTCACCTGTATGGGAAAGGACCTGAGCTCACAGATGAATGAGGCTCATCTGCAATTATCAAATCATCCCAGATTAGACAAGAAGCCCTATGAAGGAGGTCTGGCTTCATATTGTCAGTTCATCTAGAAAGACATCCAGGAAGCTGAGGTTTTCAAAAGCAAGACTAAACTGGATGCCAGTCACGTTTGCATGAGAAGCTTAGTGAAAAAAATCAAAACAATGTTCCAAGTGGCCAGAGAGAAACTGAATTTCAAAGACATTGATGACCTAAAAAATGGCTTTTCGTTCAGAAACGGTGCAAAGAGAAATCACCCTTTTCTTGGAGAACCCAGCACATCCTCCCAACAAAGTAGATACTTAAGACAACATTGTTCTTTGGCACTCATCTATTATTTGCTCTATTTCTGAAATACTATAAAAACATGTTAAGATTAAGGTTTTTGGTGGGTTTTTTTTGTTTGTTTGTTTGTTTTGGGTTTTTTTTTGTTTGGTTTTTTTTTTTTTTTTTTTTTTTGTTTTTTTTTTTTTAAATTAATGCACAACAATAAAAATCAAAACCTGCAAGTTTTTCAGACTACTAGTGGCAACTAAACAGATGCTTAATAGAAACAACCAAAATAATACTAAGTCACAGGACAACTTCACCAAGGTGCAAGACAATAAAGTAGCCTCTAAAAATGCAAGTGTTACAGATGTATCAGCACAATTTAGACCCAGACCCACCCATGTGCTGCCCCAGTTTACTACAGAACTGTTTGCAGGTCAGTGGTGCTCTCTGCTTCCATTTGTCTCCCTACAAGTACTATATTCTATCACATCCATATGCAAACACAAACTGCATCTTAAAGTGTGTCCTGTTCTACATCTAAGACTGCACAAGTAAGACACTGGCAAAAGCAGACATACACCACAGCTACCTTTGTACAGGTTCCAAAACAGAAAAAGTTCTCCTCTGCTTGCAGTAGTGCTACCAACATGACCAAACAAATTGACACTTGGATCCCAGAAGACACGATCAAAACACAGCACAACCTAGAAACAAAAAGAATCAAGAGTTAGGAGATTACAGGGGAAAAAAAAAAAAAAAAGACAACTGCACACATTGATGTTTATCACTGGAGAAGTCAAGAAAGGAAAATCTGGTGAATATTTATTGCATATACATAAAGGTGTACACCTACACTGTCTTCCATGTCAGTATGCTCTCACAGTTTACAAGTTTGCTGGTTAACAAAGTATAGCAGACATTGAATCAGCCTGCTTCTGAAATTTAACCATTGAAAAATTGTGGGGCAAATAGAGAAGAGGTCCTTACAGTTCAGTTAATTTTCAGCATCAAAATCTAGCAAAACAGCAGCAGAAAAAAAAAATTCTCCCTCTCATCCACCATCCCCATTCCATACACATTTTAGATTCTACCTCTTGTACTCTGCTCAGTTCCCTCAATGACAAGTCACCTTGTTAAGGTTGCCAAATCCCATACGCTGCACTGCAGAAGTTTTCCACTCAGGAAGAGGTGGCACAAACTGGACTGCTGGAGGCTGCTGTTTCAGGACTCCCAAGGGAAGAGTACACAGGACAGCATCACATTTGTAAATGAAAGTCTGGCTAGTAGATCGGGTGTTCACAGCTATCACTTCACAGCCTGGAGAAAGGAGAGAAAACCAACCATTTAATAGGCCAGGAGGCAAGAACACAGAATTAAAATTTAAAGGGACTTCTATAAAAACATATCTGCATCAGAAAACATTTTGTTTATAGAGAGAGCTTTACACTAACATTTACTTAACTTTAGGGCAAGTGAATGTTACAGGCCACATAGCTCCATTCCAGAACATGTGACTTACAACAGCACCTGAAAATGGCCATAATGGGATAAGCCTAAAGGCCAGTAAGTTATATTTGAATATATGCATAAATAGCAAGTAGAGAATAAGCCTCTCATTGAGTTGCTCTCCCAGCTGACAGTTTCTCAAGCCAAATGATTTGAAGAAGAATAAAAAGATATACTCCTTCCACTTGTTTGAGTCTGTATTACATTCACTTACACTTTTAATACCAGATCCTGTGACAGGAAGTGTTAAAGCAGTCCAAGACCTCTTACTCCAACTGCTTCAGTCAATGAAGTAAAGCAATGGAAGAATGAATGTGAACTTGTGAATCAGTACATACAGCTGACAAGGATGGCCTCAAACCAGCCACAGAAATAAGCAAAAACTACTTACGATTAATAAACCTTTAATAAATCTTCCTACACAACTAATAGCAATAAAACACGTGGCTGCTTGACCATAGTGTCTGAGAAGGTTTTTATGAGAGTCTCCACAGCTGCCTCCAGAAGCACTGCAATCTCCTTGCAGCAAGCACACCCTCTGAGCAGCAAGCAAACCCTCTGAGCAGCCTTCCCAAGGGGGCAGCTCCTCTTACCTGATGCTGTGTAGCGAACCTGCCGAACTGCCGTGTTTAACTTAATATCCAGCCCCTCTGCCAAGGCTACAGGCACACAGGAATACCCATTCCTCACAGTCAAGTGACTGCCTGTGAATTCAAAGTCATCATCCTAAAATGAAGTGCATAAGAAGCAGGCATTAATAATGAAATCACATAACTCAACAGAAAATAATCAGCAGCTCTACACAACGGCAACACGTTTTTATGAAACTTTTTTCAAAGAGCAATTCAACAAAATTGAAATCCTTTCTTGTTAGTCAAGGAATAAGTATAGGTACTTGCAGCAGACAGTATTATTGGAATAATGCTACAATATTAGAATTATACTGCAGCAGACAGTATTATTAGAAGTTGTTTTGGCCCTTGCAAAAAGCTGCCTGGAATTTCATCAGCAAATAATAACCACGTAAGAGCTCAGTATCTGCATGAAAGCAGATAGCACTTCAGTGCTTAAAAAACATTAACATGTTTTTAATGTGTTAATTAACATGGAACAAGCTTCCATGGCAATGTGATAAATATGGCTTGAGATTTCAGTGTAATGAGATACCTGGTCCCAGTGCTTCAGCGAAAGTGTAGACAGAGGTGTAGCATTAGCAAATTCCAGGTTTGCAAAATGCCAGTCTAGTATTTGCCTGTCTCTTGATGAGAGATAAACATCACTAGAAAAAACAAACAAACAAAACACACACAACATAATACAAAGCTCTTTCACTTGCTGGAGTACAGTGTTGCAAATGCATCGCTTCTGAACATTTACTCACAATTTTTTGTTACAATCCCTCCTTAGCAGAGGAAGTTAAAATTAAAAAGAACACAAGCAGATTCTGTTTCCAACATTTGGACCTCCTTCAGAAAAGCCCAATATCAAACCCAAGCAAATTTACATTTTCAAAGCAGAGTTCATGTAAAATATTCTAAGTGAAGATAAGTTACCTTTAGAAATAAAAAAAGTTACAAAATAATGGCTTAAGTAGTATGTTTAAAGAAGACAATGATCTAGTATAATCACACAGAGTACAAAATAGGAACATTCTGCCAAAAATAAGCAGGATTGGTGTGCTACCATTATTGAAGATTTTAAACCTCAAAGGCTTCCTGAGATCAGACACTGTTCACAGTAAGGATGAAAATGTATTGACATACCCCAACTAAGAACCACCTTTTTTGTCCAAGTCACCCTCCAAAAATAAGGAAGATGAGTTCTAAAGCTGAGGGAGCTCAAATTTCATGTTTGTACCCTCCTAAACCCTTGAGTTACCATACTTAACATATCACGGTATCCTTGAAACTCAGTGAAAGGTAGTAAAATAAATTGCTTTCATGAGTGTTTATTTTCATAGTTTACCTCGGTGGATTGGCTTCAAGTTCTTGTAACTTCTCTTCCAGCTTTCCTTGTGTTTCTGCCAATTCATCGTACTCCTAATAAGATTAAACACCAACATTTAAGTCAGTTTACATGTAAAAGGACTTGACATCATATAGCATCAGGCTAGACCTAATCTCAGGAGAAATCAGTGGAAGATTCATTGTTTTAGTGGAATCTAAATCAAGTTGTTTTTTTTTTTTTTTAACATTTCATTCAGCGAATTTTGTGTTTCTGCTGTTTGAATATAAAGAAATCTATGCCACACTGCAGAAAAGATTAGAGTGCTGCTATCTCAGGAATTTAAGCACTCAGATGTGAAGAACACAAAGGTCTGTTACAGTCCTGCTGTTTTAAGGGTTCCTATGTACCCAGAGCTTTTGCATAGTCACAAAAGGTTATTTCTATTTTTCATGCTCTCCTAAAAGATAACAGTTAATATTGAACATAGAGATTTCCAATGCAGAAGCAGTCATGCAGAAGGCAAAGACATTCTCTAATGACAGCTTCTTTCAGAAGTTAGGTGTTTTTTTCTTATTTTAGAAAACATCAGAAGTAGGTATAAAGGCAACAATCATCTTCCTTCAAGACAGAATAATTTGGAGCATCAAATAGAGACAACAGCACAAAGTTGTTCATTGGTGACAAAACAGAAGAGCTACTACTTGTGTACACACAAACACACTGAGCTTCCAAAAAAAGTCACATACCTTCTGTTGAACAGGTAGCTGAAAAAATGATCCTTGGGTTCTATATGGCCTGGGTTACCAAATGTCTTTTACTATCATAGAATAGTTTTTAAGGTTTCCTTTTTAAGGCATATTTCTACAAGATACACACAGAGCAGGGGGACTAACACTGCTTCTCAGATAGAGCTCTGTAAATTATAACACTTAAAGAAGCCTTTCATTCAGGAAATCACCTCTTTTATCTTAGAGAAAGATCATCTCTCTTCAAATGCAAATTTTATTTTCAGATTATTGTGAGACCCAAAAGTGCTAAAGACTGAGTCTGACCTCAAATCTAGCCTTCAAAGCATCAAATGCTGTCTGATGTGTGCCAGCACAGACTGTTACCTAAAACTGAGCCTTCAACATGTTAATGCTCTCCACTGTGAGCCATGTGTTACCTAAAGGTACTTAACCAGCTCTGGTATCAGCATTGCAACCCAGAGTTACCATCCATCACATTCTCGAGAGTGTTTGATCAGAGTGAGCCAATGGAAATGTTTCCACATCTCCAGTTTCATCTGTCTGGTGAAGTGCTCTATGTATGTCAGCCTCTACCTTGCAAAGTGCAGTCAGGTCTCTGTGCTTGCTTTTCACAAGGAACTCGGCTGTAATATCACGAGGTGGCTTCACTTCTGATGCTTCCTTGTACTGCTGATGAAGTTCTTTAATCTTTTCTTTTAAATTCACCATCTTTTTCAAGTAAAGTAGGAAAAGGGAGAAAGAAAGGAAACAAAAAAGATGGAAGGTAGATTACATGCAAGTTACTGTGTAAAATGGATATTCACCTCAAACTCAGCCATTGTACCAGAGATTTCCTGGGTTTGGCAGATGTTACTTACATGCAGTTTTACCTCCAAGAAAACAAAAACACCACCAACCCCAAAACAACATGGCCTAAGCCAAACATCATTGAATTATTAGAAAAATACGTTGCAAATAACTTAGGATATGAGACCTGTCCTCATACATTTTTAATTTGAAATTTTTATGTGGAAATAAAGATGTCATCTACCACAATCAATAAAATAACAAGTGAGCCTAAAACACTGTTTCTACACTAGAAATCAGATTTGGGGCAAAGACAATAACCCTTTAGCAGCCTGGTTCATTATCAACATCTCTAAAGGATGCTATGGCATAACACTGTTCATCATGTCTTCCTTGTACTGGGTTTTGGTAGTGGGAAGGGCTACAGGGGTTACGAAGCTGCCCCAGCTCCAGGCTGAGCCTGCCCCTCTGGCCAAGGCCTAGCCAAGCAGTGGCAGGGGCAGCGCATCTACGGCAACGTATCTAGGAAGGAAAAAGTCTGCTGAGGAACCTGCAGCCAAGAGGAGTGGGATGTGAGGAAAACACCCATGCAGACACCAAGGTCAGTGAGGGAGGAGGGGCAGGAGGAATTTAACGCTTTAAATGACTTTTTTTCCCCAGTCAAGTCTGTTCTGCCAATGACTGTAACTGGTGTCTTGTCCCCCTGCCCTTGTCCAAACCCATAAGCCTTTTGTTGTATTTTCTCTCTGCACCCCACTGAGAGGGAGGAGTGAGCCAGCAGCCACGTGGTGCTTAGTTGCTAGCTGGGTCTGAATCACAACGGTCCTCTCCCTTTTTTCCCCCCATATTTGTGTTTTACAGTCTCATGCCTCATCAGTTAAGTGCTCCTCCCCAAAGCCAGAGACTCCTTTACTGTAACAGTGCTTCTAGGCACGTCTTAAATGAATAGATATGAGTACGAACAGCATCAGTTATATTTTTCCATGGAAGCTTCTGTACATCTTGCCACTTTCTGAGGAACAATGCTATCCTCTTGTTCTAAATGTCATCTGACCTTGTTAAGAAGATCTTTCAATTCCTCCTGTGTTTTCACTATTTTTTTCCAGTGTTCAATCTGCTCATCCTTCACATGCTTCTCCTGCAATCTGGAAAAGGTGAGAAAGAGTCAGTTCAGCATAAAATCCTCATGTTACTGAGAAAACACATTTTCACAGCCTAATTAGTGTAATGCAATAAAAGCACATGTCATGGAGTGTTTTTAGTAAATATTCATATAGCAATTAGAAAACACAAGCTTCTGTAAATAAGGGATACTAGACTACCTATAACACAAATCTGAATTTTACCTACTACTATTAAAAGGCATATTACAAATACAACTAGCTTTCAAGAATTATGTGGACAGTATGTGCACCAATTCATACTAAATTATCCACTATTAATTACTGTAGCAGGGATTTTCTGGAAGCTTTCAGGAAAAGATGTTCACTCCTTTAACTGTCTTTGGTGTATTTTGCTTCAATAATCAAGACACACATAGAAACCGAAAACTCAGCAGAAACCAAGCAGCTTTATTATGTGGGTAATGCTTACCCCAGGAGCATCACAATTACAACTACAAAATTATACCACAAATAGGAAAGCCTGCCATGAAGAGAGAAGACACTTACTGTATGACAACCTCCAGAGCCTGACCTAGGGAGACAGGCTTATTATTGAGAACATTAAAATCCAACTGATGACTGAGATAGGATGTGGCTTCCAGCAGACGATTGAATTCTTGCTCCACCATTTCATCTTTCTCTTTTGGAACCTAGGATTCAAAAGAACAAACTTTCTTCTTAATAACCTATTCATAAATAAATAAAAAAGAAAAAATGTAGTTCACCAAAGCTCAAAGCCTCAGAGCCTCGAGTAAGCACAGAGGAAATCCTGAAGTGAAATGGAGCAATGACACAGATTTCTCTAGTACAGCCTAAATTCACACCACCTTATAAGGAACTCAAAATGCTACCACTCCTCAAATCAGAGAAACCAGAAAGTCAAGGTGCAGATAAATTTTTAGAACAGTGCTCAAAAAACACAGGTATCACATACCCTTCTGAAGTATTCCAAAGTAGCTGAGAATAGCCCTTGTGAAAAAACTTCTATACCATTAGCTCTCTCAAATGGTCAGACACCAAGGTCTGTACACCACAGTCACTGTGCCAGGATGTCTGGCCAAAGAGCTACAAGAGCTGGCAAATCTTGATGACAACTGACTTCTCTTGGATGAGGAAAACAAATCAATTTATGGGCACAAGAAAATCTCCTTACTGGAAGGTGTGTCCATTAAAGCTTCAGAAGCTTGCCAATAAGACAAAAGACCACTCTGATGGCAGTGTAGCTCTACACAGTCACAAGGCTTTAGGAGTCTTGGCATAGCTCAGTGAAGCAGACAGACCATCTTTTGGAGTGGTCAGTGTGACTAAGAACTATCAATCCAGCTTTTTCTAGGATGATGATGGAAGCACTGCAGGACACTTCCAGAAGGGTGTACTTGGCTGTGCTGAAGACACTAACTTAAACAGCATGTGCAGCTGCCAGTGTGGAAATACCTGTTAGGTGATGACAGCTGCATGTCCTGAAAAGAGCAAACATCACATGGTATTAACATCTGTTAAACCCAGTCTAGGATAAACAAAGCCTAGAGAGAAAACACTGATGAGTATAAAGGAAAAATCAGGAAGAAAAAAAAGTATACACTTCAGAAAGATGGGGAAGGTTCTTGGATGACTGCTGATCAGAACAAAAACAGCTTGAGAGGTGCTGTTAACAGTGCTGCCTATCCCCCTGTGACCCTGTCAGGTGGCTCTTAGCCAAGAGGGGTAGGACAGCTCTTCTCAAGGTTGAAAAATTAAAACCAGAGCTCCACTTTCAAGAAACTGATGGCAGTTGCTTTTATCATTTAAGCTTCATCTTCCAAGTTCCAGTTTAAGTACCCATTAGTACACCACAAGTCATCTGTGAAGAATGAAGCAGCACAGCCCAGGCACACAGAGATGGCATCCGGAAAACCAGAAGTCAGCCAGAGTTGAAACTGAGATGCTGGACACCAGAGGGCAAGGACAGCCCTCTGCACACACAGCAGCAGCAAAAATAAAGGAAAAGGCAGACTGCAGAGCTGCTCCTGAATGTAGTAGTAACGGGTATGGAAAAGGCTGAAGTACTAAATCCCTCTTTGCCTCACAACTATGTCAGGATAAGCTTTACACAGTGGGGTGAAAATCAAAGTACTAGGATGTGAAAAGACAGCAGAAACAGACAACTGGCATTTGATTTTTAGCAAGTGCTAATAATCAAAGGAAAAAGTGTGGCAATACTAAAAAAGGAAAAGGCAGGATTAGTAAAACAACTGCCTTAGGGTACGCAGCATCATGGAGTATATTAAGGAAAAACAGAGGAAGACCAGGTGAGCAGTACATGTCAAAACACAGCTTTCAAGGTGTAGCTGCACCATGTCTGAGCAAGTAAATTCAAACTTCCTATAGCTTCCACTTTTACTTATTTACTATTTATCATATAGGTAACAACCTTTAAGAGTTTAGATGACCAGGAACTACAGGCAATAGAGATATAGTCACAGATAGATACACAGATACTGAACGTCACAGAATCCAGATTATATTGGCATCTGGGTTGTAAAATATTCCAATACTGGTCATCATTACTCAAATCACAGCTTCTTGTCCTAATTATCTGTCATAGTTAAAATGTCTTTATATTAGATAGTTTATTGAAGCATTCCAGAAACACACATGACAGATGCCAGAAGATGAGCAGCATACAGAGGCAATGCTATTTATTTTTAAGCCAAGGAAGAGCACTCTGGTTCATTGTAGTTGTCAAGACAGCATTCAACAAAAGGAAGCAATACAATTCAGTCTGAAAAACATAAGCAATTATACCTATCAAGCTCAAGTAACTGGTAAGCAGCCAAATCATGACGTGCCTTTTAAAAATAAGAGTAGCTCCTGTCATTGCACTAATAAATGCACAGGTCTGAGCTGCAGCAGCCACCTCGGAACACAGAGGTGAGCTGGTGTCCCACCAGGTTAGCTGAAGGAGCAGTAAGAACCTCTCCTGTCCTGAGGGATTCCTCCCAGTGCTTGGCAGCACAAGGCCTCATTGTCAGTTTCCACCTTGACTGGGTCTCCTAGATGTGAATGTGGTAGGGGAAACACTACAGAGTAAATCAGAAGGAATATTCTGTTTCAGAGAAACCCTCTACTCCCACTGGCTTCTTCTTTAAGTGCCTATCTGATGAGCAGGAGAAATTCCTGGAGCACAGGAGCTGCATATGCCCGAGAGGCTTGGCCAGATAGAAGTGATCTAGTTGCTGTGTACCATGTTCAGAAAGGAGTGTGCCACAGAAGGGAAGCTGCACGGTCAGGCTGCAGCCATCAGTGCTGAACCAGAGGCAGTGGCAGCAAAGGAAACCTGGCTGGCACCTACTACAGGCCACCTAAACAAAGGGAGCCTTCTGACTCCAGCTGCAAGAGGCTTTGCACTCTCATGCTCTCTTCCCATTGGGGGACCTCACCCTGACATCTGCTGGAAAAGTAGTGCCCTCTGTGCCTGGGAAGATCATGGAACAGAACCTCCTAGAAGCTCTGCTAAGGCACATGCAGGACAAGAGGGTGATTTGAGATAGCCAGCACAGCTTCACCAAGGGCAAGTCCTGCCTGACCAACATGGTGGCCTTCAAACGATGGAGCAACTACATCAGTGGACAAGGGAGGAGCTATGGATGTTGTCTATCTGGACTTCTGTAAAGGCTTTGATTCAGTCCCCCACAACATCCTTCTCTCTAAACTGGAGAGAGACAGATTTGATGGAGGGACCGTTGAGTGGATAAGAAACTGGTCATATGGCTGCATCCAGAGGGTAACAGTCAATGGCTCAATGTCCAGATGGAGACCGGTGACAAGTGGTGTCCCTCAGGGGTCTGTACTGGGAACTTAAGTGCTGCTTAACACCTTCATCAACAAGATAGATCAAGTGCACCCTCAAAAAGTTTGCTGAAGACACAAGCTGAGAGGTGCTGCTGACATGCCTGAGGGACAGGCGAAGACACAAGCTGAGTGGTGCTGCTGACATGCCTGAGGGACAGGAGGCCATCGAGGAGAACCTGGACAAGCTTGAGAAATGGGCCCGTGTGAACCTTATGAGGTACAACAAGGCCAAGTGCAAGGCCCTGCACCTGGGTCAGGACAAGCCCCTGGTATCAATACAGGCTGAGAGATGAAGAGACAGAGCAGCCCTGTGGAGAAGGGCTTGGGGATGAAAAGCTGGACATGAGCTGGCAATGTGCACTCACAACCCAGAAGGCCCAACCATATCAGAGGCTGCATCAAAAGCAACAAGGCCAGCAGGCTCAGCAGGCATGTCCCCTGGCTCCACCCTGGTGAGATCCCCCCTGGAGCCCAGTTCTGGGGTGCTCAGCACAAGAAAGACATGGACTTGTTGGAGCAGGTCTGGAGGAGGCCACATCAACAATCAGCATCTTGAATATCCCCGTTATGAAGAAAAGCTCAGACAGTTGGGCTTGTTCAGCCTGGACAAGAGAAAGCTCCAGGAATACCTCATTGCAGCCTTTCAGTACTTAAAGGGAGCCTATAAAACAGATGGAGACAGTCTTTTTAACATGGCCTGTTGCAACAGGACAAGGGGTGATGGTTTTAAACCAAAAGAGGAAGATTTTAACTAGGTATTAGGAAGAAATTCATTAGTGTCAGGGTGGTGAGATGGAAGTAGGTTGCCCAGAGACATGGTAGATGCCTCATCCCTGGAAATATTCCAGTTCAGGGTGGATGGGGCTCTGAGAAACCTGAACTGCTCACTGCAGATGGATTTCACTAAACCCTTCCAACCCAAACCATTAGGTCGTTCTAGGATTACTACACTGCTTTAAATTGGACACACTTTTCATTACTTGCTTTCTCTCTTCCTGAAAGATCTCTCCTGCTAGCACTGGTAACAAACACACTTGAGATGCTATTTCTTTTTAAAAGGTTTATGAAAACAGTATCAGACTTACAGCTTGTCCATTTGCTTCATAAAGTGGGCACTTTTGTTTGATCTTAGCCAGTTCCATATTCACTTGTTTGCTGACCACAGCCATGGGATTTCCTCCTGGAAAACATTTTGTATAGTTAACAGACTAGTCCTGCAAAGTTTGTCTGCAATTAACAACAAAATGCACAGCTAAAGCCATTTCAGAGACTAAACACACCAACTCCAGTGCAAAATGCATTCCAGTGAAGTAGCATGACACTGCCAAAGGTCTGTTCTCCTCTTCTGCTCTACTGTTGCAATTTTTGCAACAAGGTCATAAAAAAACCCTGCCCAGCAACACTTAAACCATAGTATTGAAAAAAGGCTGATCATAAAAGCAGCGTCCTAGGGTGGCAGCAACCTTAGTACAACTAAGCTATATAGCTATAGACACATTGTTAAAAAGTTTGACAGCAGAGTGTTTGAAAAGCCAAGGACAGCTCCCACAGCTGCACGGTGACTTCAGGAGCTTTTGGAAGTATGGCGACTTGGAGAAGGAGCCTGAAGAATTCAGTCTCTAAAAAATTAGTGCAACTCCAACAAGCAACACCAGTGAACAGCGTGTATGGAGATGAACCATGTACACCAACTGTACCTGGGAGATGTGTAACTTAACAGGTGTCCTGGTTCTGTGTACAAAGGGGTGCAGGGCAGGACCCACACAGAACAGAACTGTGTGCTCCCCTCCCCCCCAGCGAGGGAGAGACTTTGAAAACCAATTGGGAGTTAAATGAAAATAAAGTATATTGTTTAACAGGGAACAGAAAACGAAAAAGGGAGGTAAGAAAAATATATACAAAGATTGGGGGAAACAGAAAAGTAAAACAAGCTATACAAACCCCTCAGAATAGTTCCAGACCCCACGGAGGGAAGCACGCCCGGGGCCGCAGGGCAGGAGCGGGGCTGGCACCCAATTCCTGCCTCTTCCCAGAGGGTGGCACAGAGGGGAGGGAATACACAGCTCACCCCCACCCAGGGCCCTCCCAGGTGCTGGAAGGTCACACCCCCACTCCAAGCCTCAATCCAGAAGATTCCATGTGGGAACGTGAAAAAGGCAGAGAGCAACTGTAAGCATCCAGAATCACTAAACCCCCAAAGCAGAGCCAAGGAAAAGAACAGACAAGTGGGAAGTGGCATAAAGGAGAAGCAACATGGGCTTCCCCTACCAATTTAACTTTAGGAAACATTTTTCAGATTCAGGTTCCAAACATTCTCTCTCTTGATCCCAGAGCTTTAGATCAAAATAGAGAAGGAAGTTCAGTCACACTAATACACTCCTGTCTTTAGAGAGGTGACTAAACAATCAGAAGGGAGTTTTGGAGTAGGTCTAAGTAAGCTCTTGTTTCAACATCCTAATAAAACATTTACCACAGTTTACTAACAAAACCAGGAAAAATCTCATCACTTCAGTCTTTCACCTTCCTGAACCATAAGCTCAACCCCTTCAGTAGTCTGTCCTCCTCACATCCATTGCAGATTAAGAAATATAAAGGATGCCCTTCAAACCACCTCCTTCACTCCAGGAATCTTACTGCATAGCATGTGCTGCCTCAATTCAGGCAAAGGGTATATTCTTTTGGAAAGAAAACATCCATGATGAATTAAATATAAAAATATTACAGTCTCTCTCAGAGCAACCTTACATCTTTTACCAGGACTGTGCAACTTCACTGCTCTTTGTTTGGAAACTGTTTCTGTTTGTAATTTAATAAAGACTAACCATAAGACTGACACCAAGTTTTGGCAGTCAGTAAAACTCAGGTTTTATAATATTCTGTCATTTCATTACAATACTGAAGGGTATTTCCACACTAAACACCTGCCCATCATCTTAGCAGAGTAACTAGTATCAATAACTGATGCCATCCCATAAGCAAGCATGAAATAGGAAGAAGTATGGCTTGTCTGCCATTATTTTTACAACAATTTCTAAAATCACTTAAAGAAAGGACCTCCAGGGTTTAAATCCTGACTTTATGAAGGACTTTCTCTTCAGAATGGCTCTGCTCTTCATTTTCCCTCCTCCCTTTTCTTCTCCTCCACATAAATGAAAAACATATTCCATCTCTTTGGGGTCTCTCCCATCTTATAACTTTGCTCTTAGCTACTCAACTAATCCCCCTGCTGCATCCCTATTTCTCTATGTTCAATTTCAGCTTATGTTTTAGAAGGTCCAAGGGAACAACCAAGACATCCAGCCCATGGACCAGAACCCCAAGGCCACTGGAAGCTGAGTAAATCAGCTTTAGAAAGATTGGTTCAGCAAGTGCAGTGACCCCAGTGCAGACACCACCTTAACGGAATCAGGCAACGGAAACAAGAGAAAAGGACAGCACATCAAGCCAAGAGCAAAGGATTCCACTAAGCACAAGTAAACTGCAGAAGGATGGATCTGCAACAGTTTGATGCCATGAGCAGCATCTGTATGACTAGCTGAGCATCTATTTTTTAATAGTTAAAAATACCAAAATATTTTAGCCACAAAAGGAACTAGCATAAGGTGTCACAGTTGTAGCACCCTGTCCCACCATTTCCCTCCCCACTCCTCTT